ATTACTGGGGTTTAAACCCATGGCCTTGTGCCTGCTGGGCTTTTTGGTTCATGGCTGGCAATCTACCATTGAGCCATATGCTTTCAGTTCCGGTGTTTTACTGATTAATTGAAGAAGAAAGTCTAGCAGATCTGTATTGTATGAAAGGGAAGGCTGGCTTCAAACCTCAGTCCTCAGACCTCAGCTTCCTAAGCACCTAGGATTACAGGCATTAGCCACTGGCACCTGGTTATAATTTCCTATGTTATAGGTAACAAGACTGGTCTCCTTGTTTTATAAGAACCACTTTTCCCCCTCTTTGTCACAGAAAACAAAACAACAAAAAAAGAGCCCACTGCTTAAAACACACTTTGGCCCTGTCCCTAAGCAGGTGACTAAAGTGAGGAGGAGGCCAGGTAGTCCCATCTACCTTCCTCCTGTCCATTCTGTCCAGGCATATAACATCCAGGGAGAAATGCTGACACTACATTCCTGTGAGAGTAGCTCCCTGGGCCTCCCCAAATCCTATGGACTCCTTACAGCAGAAAATGAGAACCAGTTGTCACAGCAACTGGAAGCAGAGCAGATCATCTTGGCTGGTTCAGACCTCAGAATTGAAACCAAGAGCAGACAGACAGGTAGAAAGTCCTTCTCAATAGGCAGGTAGCTAAGGCTCCCAAGCAAGGTGGGTAGGGTCACATTCCCCAGACATTAAGCTTAGTCACCCAAGGCAGAAACCAGGAGATGAGTAAGTTTCTCTCAGTACCTGCAAGAGGGCTGTGCTGCCCAGAAGCAAAGTGGAGCCAGCCTAGGGTGAGGCCAACAGGCAGTGGCTGAGTTCTATTTCCGTGGGTGTTTCCTTACAAAATTAAATCACTATATGGCACACACACACACACACACACTATATGGCACCACACACACACACGTACACACACACACACCCTTTCTACAGTACAAGAACCTGACTGGACGAATTCAAAATTAAATCACTATATGGCACACACACACACACACACACACACACACACACTGGATGAATTCAAAATTAAATCACTATATCACACACACACACACACACACACACACACACACACACACACACCCTTTCTACAGTACAAGAACCTGACTGGACGAATTCATGCCCTGTTTGAGTAGAAAGAAAATCCAGCCAGGGACAGGACCACCATCATCAAGAACTTACGAACTTACATGTATAGTACATGGCAAGCACGAAAATAAATGAAGCTGGTCTTTCTTTGCAGCCTATATGAACGGGTTCAGTGACACACTACACTACTAGAGCACTCTGGAACAAACTCAGGAAACTTGAGATCTGTGGATCAAGGTTTGAAACCAGCCCAGGTAGGAATGTCCATGAGACACCTCCAATGAACCACCAAAAGCTAACGAAAGTGGAGCTGGGAATGTAGCTTTGTGGTAGAGTGCTTGCCTTGCATGCATGAAGCCCTGGGTTCAATTCCTCAGTACCATATAAACAGAAAAAGTTGGAAGTAGTGCTGTGGCTCAAATGGTAGAGTGTTAGCCTTGAGCAAAAGCAGCTCAGGGACAGGGCCCAATCTTTTGAGTTCAAGCCCCAGGCCTGGGAAAAAGAAAAAAGAAAAAGCTAAGGGGTAATGTGCCCAGGCTGAGTTCAAGCCCTGGTTTAGAGGCATGTGTGCGTGTGCACGTGCACACACATATACACACACACTCAAAAGTGCTCTGGTTCAACCAAAGTGTTTTCTGGCTACAGTTCCTAAATGCCCACTTCCTTTAAGTGTTCACTTACACAGGAAGATGCAAATGACCTGGAAAACTACTTTATATATTTAAATTGCATTACAGTACATTACATTGTATTACAGTAATAGCTGATGAGTAAAAAATTGGGGGAGGCAGGGTTTGGGCTGGGTGAAAGGGGAGACATGGAGTAAGATGCATTGTACTTATACATAAACTGATTTGTTGAATTACGCCTTTGTACAACTAAAGATAATAAAAGTATAATTAAAATAGGTCTGAGTAGGGACTGTGAATGTGGCTTAGCTCGAGTGCTTGCCTAGCATGCAAGAAGCCCTGGGTTTGATTCCTCATTGACATACAAACAAAAAAGCCAGAAGTGGTGCTGTGGCTCAAGTGGGAGAGTGCTAGCTTTGAGCAAAAGAAGCTCAGGGACAGTGCCCAGCTTGAGTTCAAGCCTCAGGACTGGCCCCCAAAAAAGGTCTGAGTAAAAACTTCATCCTAGCACAGAGTCAAGAACACTAAAATCTCTTTAAATGAGAAGACAGCGCCTCCTTGTGGCAGGTTATTTTAAACTCAGAAATGAATGCTGAACATTTCTTACTCAATTTCTAATATCATTATTAAGAAGTCTCATACTTGTTAATAAATACTAGTAGCCTAACTTAGATTTGCTGCCAGATTAACATCCTAGGCAGATTTCCTTTTTCAAAAAAAATACTGTGAATTTCCGGAAATTATGTAACCACTTAATCACAATAAAAAAAAAAAAAAGAACCTGGGGAAGGGAGGGAGGGAGGGGATGGTAGGGGGAAAACAATGGAGGGGGTAACAATGTTCAAGAGGAAGTGTATGCACTACCTCACTCATGTAACTGTAACCCTCTGTATAGTATCTTTACAATAAAAAAAAAGATACTATACAGAGGAGTTATCGTTACATGAATAGGGTAATGAGTACATTTCCTATCCAGCACTGTTATCCCCTCCTTTGTTTTTCTCCTACCATCTCTTCCCTCCCCACCACCCCAACTCCTCCCCCAACTTTGTTTCCAACATCTTGTCTTTTTTTTTTTTTGGTGGATCCTGTCCTTGAACTCAGGGCCTGCACACTGTCCCTGAGCTTCCATTGCTCAAGGCTAGCACTCTACCACTTTAGCCACAACACCATTTCCAGCTTTTTCTGTGTGTGTGGTATTAAGGAATCAAACCCAGGGCCTCATGCATGCAAGGAAAGCACTCTACCACTGTACCACCTTCCCAGCCTAACATCATATGTTGTACATCTCATTGTTAAAATGGGTCAGCTTGTATCCTTGTTTCAGCATTTTGTTATTTCCCTTCCCTACCCCAAATTAGAAAAATGTATATATAAGATACAGGGTACTGGAATCAAATACAGTGAAAACAGGGGTTGTACCATGGGGGAAGAACATACAAAAGAAGCAAAAAAAATCACATAGTACATTATAAGGACATTAAAAACAAGAGCAACAAAGATAAAATCTCTTGTGTCCCTATTTTGGGGTTCATTTTGCTTACTATCATCTTTTTTTTTTAATTTTTTCAAATTTTTTATTGTGATTAAGTGGTTACATAATTTCCCAAATTTCACAGTATTGTGGGATAGTGAAGCTTAGTTAAAGTCACAAACACATTCTAACTTTCATGGAGCAAATTGTCTATCACGATCTATAACATTTATGAGTTCTATGAGCTTTGTGATAGTTATTTCTTCCACATTGGGTGATATGTACATTTTTTTTGTTTTGCATCAGCTGTTCCCTCTTTCCCACTTGTTCCCTCCCTCCCATCGCTGCCATTGAGTTGCTTAGTTCATTTTGTCAATGTCCAGTGCAGCTGATGGGTCCCGCTGTTCTATGTTTTTCCCTGATTCCCTCTAGTTCTGTGTCGTTCTCTGGTGTGCACAGATATAACATATATGTGATCAGTAGCATGGGGTTATTTAGTAGTGATTCGACCAGATGAGTGGAAGTCCTTTGTTTCTTAAGTCCTGTTAATTTTGTCGTATCGCCTAACATTTTGGATTTAACATCCACTTATCAGGGAGACCATGTACCGTTTATCTCTGCACTTGGCTTACCTCGCTCAGCATGATTTCTTTTAGCTCCATCCATTTCCCTGCAAATGCCATTATTTTGTCCATTCTAATGGGTGCATAATATTCCATTGTGTATAGACACCACAATTTTTTTGGATCCATTCATCTGTGGTGGGACATCTGGGTTGTTTCCATATCCTGGCTATTGTGAACAGTGCTGCAATAAACATGGAGGTGCATGTGTCCTTGTGTACTGGTTCTTGTTGTTCAAGATGTCTAGAAGTGGTATGACTGGGTCATAAGGGAGATCAATATTTAGCTTTCTGAGGACCCTCCAGACTGCTTTCCAATAAAGCCTAAATCTTAAACATTTCATGGCAATCAACATCAGAAGTCTATTGAAAAAAATTATTCTGAGAGCCAAAATTGCTCAAGAACATTTATCTATGTATTTCTGACCATAGAATACATATATTGTATCATTATATTGTAAAAAAAAATTTTTAATGTAGCTTAGGTTGGCCTGAAACTTGAGATCCTTCTCCCTCAACCTCCTAAGCGCTAGGCATACAATCATGAACCACATTGCAGAGCTTCCTTTTATTTTGTCGATCATGGGGCTTGAACTCTGGGCCTGAGCACTGTTCCTCAGCTCTTCAGCTCAAGGCTAGTGCTCTACCATTTGGGCCATAGTTCCATTTCCGGTTTTCTGGTGGTTAATTGGAGATAAGAGGTTTACAGCCTTTCTTGCCCTGGTTGGCTTTGAACCATGATCTTCTCAGACCTCAGCCTCCTGAGTAGCTAGGATTATAAGTGTGAGCCACTAGCGCCTGGCTCCTTTAAAAAAAAAAAAAGGAAAAAGGGAATTTAGCTGAGTACCAGTGACTCCATCTGTAATCCTAGCTACTCAGGAGGCTGAAACCTCAAGAATTATGGTTTGAAGCCAGCCTGGTCAGAAAAGTTGGAGAGACTACCTCCAATTAACTAGCAAAATGGCAGGACTGGAGTACCAGCCAGAACAAAAATGCTAAGTAGAACTGTGAAGGCCCCATCAAGCCCTGGCACTGGCACTAGGGGAAAAAGAAAAAAGAAAACCCAGGAATTTGAGCCCTAGTGTTGCAGGAATCCCTCACAGAAAGGAGATAGTCCAGAACCCAAGGCACAGAAGTAAAAACCAACCTTCCTAAGCAATGGCAGTCAATAAAACAAGGCAATGCTTTGGTGGAAGTTAAAGTATTTATTGATGTGTTTAAACTCTGTACATTCTCCACAGATCATATTAAGGAGTCTGTAAGTGAAGTTTTATGTGTGCATAGTGTGAAAGACAGAGCCAAAGGAGAGGAAGAAGAGAAAAGAAAACTAAACAGTTACAGGGGAAAAAAATGAAATACATCACAGGTTACCGGAACCTCCAGATTAAAGGAAAAGAATTAAGAAAGCTGTGAGCATCAACATCAACTATACAAGCATTACAAAGACGCAGGTGAAGGAAGTCCTCAAAGCTTTCCACAAGGTCTAAGATCCAGTTTCACGTGCAACCCAGAACATTTGCCTTTCACATGAACAGGCTCTCTCTGCTCTCCCCTGGGCTCTCAGCTACTTCCTGTGGTCTGAGTGAACAAGAGGCCGGGAAAGGAGAGTGGACCCAAGTAAAGGTAAGGAGTGCAGGAGACATCCAGAGGAAGAGGCTGCGCATGTGGACATACTTCAGAAAGGAACATGGAGAAGAAAAGGCTACAGTAAATAACCACAAAAATGGCTGAAAAACATCATATACAAACTACAGGCTAGTTGCTATGGAAGAACTGGATTTAGAAGGAACGCAGCAGCAAACACGCTCACCTGTATGCATATCTCTGGAAGATGTGAGAAGGAAAAGGTGTTAGCCCCTTTGGTGACAGGGCTGGTACAGAGACACCAAGGTACCCAGCACTGGAAACCCCAGACTTCCAAGAAGCTGGTCCTCTAAAATCATTTAACAAGTGTAGCATGGTGTGCTACAGCAGAAATGACAGTTCCCTGTCCACTAAAGTTTTTCAGCAACTTTCTACAAGGTAAAAGGAAATACTGCCTTCTTTTTTTTACTTTTTTTTTTTTTAATAAAAATTGGAACAGTGAATGAGCTTAAAGAGTTGACTTATACAATATAACTGGAACAAACAGCCTGCATATACAATCTATCATTGAAAATCAACATTTTCCATTTATATAGAGCATGTATGTGTGAGACAATACAATAGAAGTGGGGTTTCTGATTAATTTAAAAAAGAAAACTACATCCGTCAGATATCTGCAATAGATCTTTTTTTCATTTCACTTAAGGTTTATATATCATATATTGTTATATTAATTTTTTAACCCATTTAAAAGAATGGAAATTGCAACCCTACAGTAGTACTTTATAGTCTTAATCCAGAAGGTCAGGATGTAAGATGAGACCTACTGGCAGCAGCTAGTGGTCAGCAGTTGATCCAAAATGCTGGACCTCCTCTGGCCCACCTGCAGCACTCTGCAGCCAGGTGTCACACACTTCCAGGACTTAAATCTGCATCTGCTCCAGGTACTTGTAGGTTGGGTTTTCATAACCATGATTCTGCATCTTGTTCAGGTGACGCTCTTCTGGGGTTAGCATGGGGTCAACCTGGAGAAACAAAGATCGCGGGTCACAGTGGTGTATGCGAAGACCAAGCCATGTGCCACACAATGCCCTGGGGACCCAATGCAGCCCAGCATCCTCATTTCCCTGGGAAATCAATAGCTGTGGTATCGAGGACATTCCAGGAGAGAGAGAGAAGATGGGGTCAAGGAGCAATGCTGCTTTCCGAAACACGAGTTTTGAAAGCTTGTCAAGGGGGGAAAACAGCCTACTGGATTTTCCTAATGCCTCAGCAACAAGAAAATCGCAGTTCTGGTGTGTAGTTTTGGGGCTGGCAGCAGTGAGTTATGTTGGAGCCATGTCGTGCTATCATTTCTGGTCTTTTCCAGCTCTGAGACTCTACAGGGAAGCCAGGTTCCAGCAGGAGAGAAAACCAAAGCAGTAAGGAATTGTATTCATATTCTAGAATCAAGAGACTGGACATTTCTCACTACCCTCTAAAAATGAGTGGGGCAAAATATCCCAATTACAAATCAGCAAAAGATCAGAAATTCCCTGCTTTGACTCTTTCTAAATTTCTGGTTGCTTTTTACCCCCACCAAAGAGGGGAGCGGCTGGGATAGTTCAGTGGTAGAGCACAATATCAACACACACAGACACATAGACACACATATGCGCGTGCGCGCGCACGCAGCATGGCAGTCCTTCATTATTAAATATCTAACTGAAAAATGGAGGCAGCTCCTTGCTTGACACAGATTCAGTATATTTAGTTTTTGGTGACTACCAAAAATGTGATGTGATAATACAGTAAGTCATGTTATCAATGATGGCCACATGTCCAGTATTAGAGAAATTAAGATCTTTGGATTCCATTATCATTCCCCACTACCCCAGGGGCTGACAGTGCAGAGAAAACCCTCAGCCTTCACTAGTGTGGGCCAAGGCAGAATAAAGTTCCTCCTCACCTCCACAATCCCGTGACTGATGGTGCCATACTGCCTCTTCCTCAGCATCACCAGGCTGATGACAATGACCGTGGCAATGGCCACTGCAATAACCAGCAGGCCAATAAGGGCACTGCTGCTCAGACTGAAGTCCTCCCGCAGAGGTCCTACAGATTCCTAAAATCACAAAGCAGACAGGGAACAAAGTTTCAGTGACCACCTTGCAACTGTGAGACAGGCGACCAAGGATGGGCATGCACCTTCAAAGTCGGGTCTCTACAATCCAAGGTAGCACTCTACCTTCCTTTGTAGATAACTATCTATATAAGGAAGAAGCCACTTTTTCCGGTCTCCATGGAGATTTTCATTTCAGCTTTCTCACCCAGCAGTATGGGAAAGTAGAAATGAGGGAGCCTTTGTTAATAGAGAACAGCAGATAGCTCTCACTTTCTACTTGAAGGTTAGAAACAGTGAAACTGACATGAAAACAAGCATTAGGTTCTGGAACTAAACACCTACCGGCTCTTCCTCAAGGCTTCCAACTCTTTCAGCATTGAAAATCATTTCCTTAACATCGAGAGTCTCATCAATGACCTGAAACAGTCACAAAAATGTCGGCAACTGTGTGGGAGGGGAAATTCAGTATAAATACCATCATTTCTTCTCTACTACACTGGTGGTTGGGAACTGATACCTGATGGACACCCACTAACCAGTCAGTTCTATCACATGCATCCAAATACACTCACCAAACCTCTGAATGGAAAGAAAGGCAAATGCCAAGTGAAGAAAACAAAAAACAAAACAAACAAACAAAAAAAAAACAACCAAAGAACTGCAGGTGGTCTAAGCTGCGTTTCCACCTGCATTGGAGATGTGGCTCAACAGAATAGCAAGAGGCCACAAATGTAAGTGATAGAAAACCAAGTTTAGATTTCAAGAGGATTTAAAAAACAAAAAACAAAACTGAACTTTGATTCAATTTTGTTTCACCTGAAAATGGCTTTATGTGATTCATTTCATTTCCAAATGTATTTTCCTACTATATGGCTGGAGATCAATACTTCTATAGAAAAAGACTTCATTTGTCCCTGTCATCTGCAGATGCTAAGCCATACAGCCAGTGTGTGGGAACAAGGGGAGTTCTGTCTCTACCATACAGGAAATGGGCACACAAGATATGCACCCAGAACAGGAAACGGGCATGCAGATGTGCTCCCAGAAGCACCAGGCATTCAGTCTGGTGAGTCTCAAAACAAACTGTACTGTGCAGAAGAAAGAATGGGCTCACCATATTTTCGTCCACTTTATTCTTACTGTTAATCACTTTCTCCTCCGCACCAATCAGTCCCCCGTCTTGTTCACCCACTCCAGACCCTGTATGGATAGAGATCACAGCTAGGTTTCCTGACAGCCCACCTTAGGCCAAGTTCACAGAAACAGTAAACTCCTGCTTGAAGAGGGGCTAGAAAGCCCCTCACTGAATCCTTCCCCACAACTCACTATTGCCATTGTGTTCCCATGTTGGCAGATGTACTTATGTGCTACTCTACAAGATCAATGACACAGACATTGTCAAGGGCTGATGAGCATAATGGAGGAGAGATTGCTGACTTGTCACCCTCTGGGAAAAAAATGCAAGGTAAGCCTTGGGGAGAACTGTTTATTGTAAGACATACAGAAGCTGAGTCTATGGGCGCTGTGGTATGAAAACCACAAAGCACCCATAGATGTATGTATGTATGTAAGTATGTATGTATGTATGTGTGTATGTCTGTTTAAAAGTCCTACTGAGCACTTGCTATTCCACAGCCCAATTCTTCAGTACCCAGGTCCTCCCACATGGATGTACATCTCAGCAATGCTGTAGATGTGAATATTGTATTTTATATATTATAGTTTACCATAAGCAATTCTTTCTGGCTCAAATTATTCCTCCAACCTTAAGTCCTCCTTTAAGAGATAAATTATCTCTTAAACCTGGGCTCCTCTCAGACACTCCCAGGATGCAGCACTTAGTCAGTTTGTAATAGTCTTTCTCTTGTCTCCCATTGGTCCATACCCCTCTTAGAACTCGGATCCCTGATACTCACATCCTAAAAGACTAGGCTAGAATGCACAGCAGGAAATTAGTTCATCAACAGGAGAATTCTAATACCAGGGTAGAAGGTTCTTTTCCCTACATGGAGCAAGAATAGCACTTCTCCTTTTCTTCTTTTTTTGTCAGTACTGAGGCTAGGACTCGGGGCTTGAGCACTGTCCCTGAGCTTTTCTGATCAAGGCTAGTGCTCTACCACTTTGAGCCACAGCTCCACTTCTGGTTTTCTGGTGATTAACTGGAGGTAAGAGTCTCACTGACTTGGCTGCCCAGGATGGCTTTGAACCTTTATCTTCAGATCTCAGCCTCTTGAGTAGCATGAGCCACCAAGGCCTGGCCAACTTCCTTTTCTAGAGTCAGATATGGACTAAGTCAGCATCACTAGTGTGTGACACTTGGAATGATAAGTGTCCAAATATGCACTGTGAATGGACCCAGCAAAGAGAAAGGAGGGGCAAGGCTCTTTATTTTTAGTTTCAAAGCATGTGATATTTGTTAGGTCTACCTGGGAGAACAGCCCTCTGCCCCCAAGGACAGCACTGCCTTAACAGAAATCACCTTCCCAAAACCAGTAATCACCTGAGTCAGCAAAAGGAACCTAGAATCTGAAGTCACTTCTGTGTCCACTGACCCCATATCTCCTCGCTTTTCCCTACATGATCTCTCTCTGTCACCTGTCAGGCTGCTACATGCTACACACTACACATGACATGCTACACACTACTTGCTGCACACCTACATCTGGTGCAGGCCAGTGGTTTGGTTCTCCCAATAAACTCTCTTCTGCCTGAACTCCATGGTTGTCTCCTGACATCTATCTTGCTATCCTAAGTTCCTTATTAATAATAAAACACAGTTTCCTGCACATCTACGACTTGACCTTTTTATAGATAAAATAGCTCAATTTGATAAGCTACTCTGCATCCTAAGCCTTAGAATCTCATGTAAGTTAACCTGCAAGGGAGGTCCCAAAGCACGACTGTCCCTGGATTGTCGTGGAAGGTACTGACACTAGACTTCACCACAGAAAAAGCTTTCCAGCTCATAACTATGCTCGTTCTCAACAAAGAGCAACAAAGCAATTAATAACAGCTTCACAGTTGCTGAGCTTGCAGGCCAACCAATTCATTAACTCATGACACTGCAGCCAAAAATGATGCAATTTTCTCAAACGCTTTCACTTTAAAAAGAATTACAGGTGGGGGCTGGGAAGTTGGCTCAGTGGTAGAGCGCTTGCCTTGCATGCCTGAGGCCCTGGGTTCGATTCCTCAGCACCACATAAGCAAAAAGCCGGAAGTGGCGCTGTGGCTCAAGTGGTAGAGCGCTCGCCTTGAGCTGAAGAGCTGAGGGACAGCGCCCAGGCCCAGAGTTCAGGCCCCATGACCGGACCCAAAAAAAAAAAATTAAAAAAAAAAAAAAAAGAATTACAGGTGGACCCATTGCAACAATGAGATGTGCAAGATGCGAAGTCGAAAAACAAACTTTACAACTTTGGCGGGGAGGCAGGAGGAGGTGGGGAGGGGGGGAGAGTGGGGGGTGTTTAGTTGTGGAGATGGGAGGGCAGGGATGGTAGGGGAAAAACAAAGGAGGAGGCAACAATGCTGGATAAGAAATGTACTCATTACCTTGCTTATGTAATTGTAACCCCTCTGTATGGTATTTTCACAATAAAAAACTTATTTAAAAAAAAAGAACTGCATGGTTTGATTCTAGTTAAGTGAAGGCAGGCTTTTGCAGTCTTACCGTTCCAATGAAACAGCAATCTTGAATACTATTTGAGAAAGAAGAATCTGGAAGGGCATTACCTCTGAAAGGATGCTTATGACCAAGACCAAGAAGTTCCAATCCTGAGCTACTTCTACCTTTCTCCCTTCATCATCATTACCCAGGCTGTTCTAATACATTTTTGGTTGTATAACCTACATGTGTCAAAAACAGTGATCAAATCCACTTTAGTGCTTTAAGCACATAAAAAGATGACTGACAGACTAAAAATTCTAACTACTAAATTGTCCTGATATATAACAACTAACTATGAAAGCAAAAGTCAGTTAAACTTGTAGAAACTTTTTTTGGTGGTGGTGGTGAGGTATGCACGTGTGAGGCAAATGTTCTACCACTGAGCTATAACCTGAGCTATAAATTTCAGCATTAAGTGTAAATCTAAGATGTGCTGGGAGAGAGGAAAGTGAACACAGTGATCTACAAGCAGAGGCACACCCAAGGAGAACAAAACAAAGCAATTACAAGGAAGTAAGGTTTAAATCACTTTTGTATTTTGAGAAGGAACTGTGGCATAAACCAAATTCTGAGCCAGGGAACACAACTTGATCTATCCATATTCAATGTGTCAAAACCAAAAGGGTGGGTCCTAAAGTACACTGACAAGATGTACTAGCCAGGTGCCAGTGGCTCATACCTGTAATCCTTGCTACTCAGGATGCTGAGACCTGAGGATCAAAGTTTGAAGCCAGCCAAGGTAGCAAAGTTCATGAGACTCTTTCTTCAATTAACCACCAAAAAGCCAGAAGTGGAATCAATATTGTGGCTTAAGTGGTAGAGTGCTAGCCTTGAGCAAAAAAAGCTCAGAGACAGTATCCAGGTCCTGAGTTTAAGTCCCAAGAACAGCATGTGTGCGCACACCAAAAAAGAGAGAGAAAAATGACCCAAGAGAAGGGACTGCCTATCTACTTAGGGCATTCCATGGGATAAAATCACATAGATCCTTAGGCAGAAACCTGAATTCAGAACCCTGGTACTACACTTCTTAAGCTCACAAACTTGAAAGAAGTCATATAATTTGAGGCTTTTTCAACTCCCTAATCTATGAAATAGTGTAAAAGCCCTGCCTTACAGGATGTTCAGTGGGCTACACAGAATTGCACAGAACATACTCAGCGCACAGAACTTTTGATAGCACACAAGGCACTGTCTTTGAAAACTGGAGACTACTACACCAAGAGTTCACCCATAATCCATCCATCAGCCTCACATATTTCAAGAATGCTACAACTCAGGGGTCTTGAGACCAAAGGCACAGAGGGCAAGGACAGCTAAAGGGAAAAGAGGTAAGTGGGAACAGCAGAGAAAAATGAATAGGAAAAGACTTACCACGTAGCTATAAATTAGGCATGTTCTTTTACCAACTAGCAATTCTACAATCAATCAGTTAAATGGAATATATATTGTATGTATTTTACAAAGGTTTAAGAACTCATCTGTTTAGATTTGGACATTCCAAGAGGATACTTAGGATGGCCACACAGTAACCAATACTACTGAGGGTGGAGCAGCCAGGTGAGCTCATTAGCAACACAGAGGCAGTACTACTCTGACTACTGGAAGCCATGGCTGAAGACATGAAGTGGAAAGGTCAGATGATGGTATGAAACAGAAAATGGAAACTTCTAACGCACTGGGGAAGTGAAAAGGAATGGAGGACTTAAAGGGAACATCTTTGACAAACCAACCTTTTTTCATTGGGTGGTACAATTCCGGCTGGGTGTCTAAGCAGAAAGGAAAACAATTAAAAAAAAAAACAGCACAAAAGTAGATTAAGAAAGAAGATAGCTTCTTTGAAAATTCTTGACTTAGAATTCATCTACAGTGTGAATGTGGCATTTACCCCCCTTAAAAACCATGCCTAAACTGTCCCATAAACAAACTAGCCTAAGAGGCAGAGCATATTATAGAAAGTATCATTGGTGGAGAAAAGTAGTAGATCTCATTTGGGCCTTTGAAGAGAAATTATTCAGCTCAGCTCACAAAATTATTTTTCTTAGAAAATAGTACAAAAGGAAGTTAGTATTGATTGTGGTTTGCTAATAGACCAACAAGGACCTAGTTGAGCTATGCTTGAAATGTTCTGATCCAAACAAGCATAGAGTTGTTCAATGCATGGCCACCTTCCAGCCCCCAGAGGCTGAGATTTATAAGATCAGGATTAGGAATGGGTGCAGCTCTTTACCCACTGCTCTCTCCGTTCCTGTTTATTACTGCAAGGTCACTCACTGCACTGAGTCTTGTGCCAGTTTGGAAAACATTTTTTTTTTCTTTTCTTGCCAGTCCTCAGGCTCCTTTCTGCTCAAGAGTAGTGCTTTACCACTTGAGCAACAGTGCCACTTCTGTTTGTTTTTTTTTTTTTTTTTTACTGTGATTAATTGGAGATAAGAGTCTCAAAGACTTTCCTGCCCGGGCTAGCTTCTAATCTCAAATCTCAGATCTCAGCCTCCTGAGTAGCTAGGGTAACAGGCATGAGCTACCAGTGCCCAGCTATAAGACATTTCTATAAACTCCAAAGGCTAATGCACACGGCCCTAGGCTATCTCTGGTCACAGGTATGAGAGAGCATCCCAAAGACTTCAGGACACTGTCAGCTTGAGTTCAAACACTGGCTCTCCACCTACAAACTAACCTATATATGCCCTATGCAAGTAGGTAACTGGTTTAACTAGGTATCTACCTGAGAGTTATTCTGAAGACTAACTGAATGCTTCACTAAAGCTGGCACATAGTCAGGGCTTCCTCCATAGCTGTGGGCCTTTGTTTCTTTTTTTGGTCAGTTCTGGGGCTTGAACTCAGGGCCCTGTCCCTGGGCCTTTCTGCTCAAGTCTAGCACTATACCACTTGAGCTATAGCACCACTTCGTTTTTGAGTACTTAATTGGATATAAAAGTCTCACAGGGACTTTTCTGACCAAGTTGGCTTTGAACCATGATCCTCAGATCTCAGCCTCCTGAGTAGGTAGGATTACAGGTGTGAGCTGCCAGCGCCTGGCATGTGGGCAATTTTTATCATCACCAGCAATAGCAACAGCAGCAGTAAATAGAATCTGATTACACATGCTGTTTTCAGGGAACCAGCTTGTTTATTTCTAGTGTGATCTCATGGTTTTTAGAGATACTTTTAGACACTGAACCAGCAAGAGAACAGAGGAAAGCATGCCTGATTGGGAACCAAAGGACACAGTGCCTCACTACATCAGAGATGTGAGCCTGAGCCAGACCAGGCACCTCTTCAGTCCCTTCATTATCTATCTACCTCCTAAGACTATTATTTAAAGATAAAAGCATAGCACAACACAAAGGTCCTATTTAACCTGCAATGTAACTCCCATGTGTAAGGGCCATCACACAAGCAGGAAGAGCAATGGCCTTGAAGCAATCCATTTAAAAAAATGGGAGGAACTTCCCGTGATAGTGAAGTCTCCTACCGGCTAAGACTCAGGATAGAGCAGACTTCGCTTAAGAAAATGTAGTCTCCCCTGCCTCTCGCAGGAACCCAACCTCCCCAACTCAACCTGACTTATTCCATTCTACCTTACCCCACTGCCAAGAAGTTCTACTAAAGACCATACACACCTTCGTTCTCAGGTAAGGGCAGGAAGGGATGGAAGGGGTGGAACGGCGGGATCTCGTCACTCTCCTCAGAGCTCACCCGAACATCCACAGGGCTCTCTGAGATGGAGGCAGTGAACTGGTCCATGTCTGCTCGCTGTTCCTGAAGAAGCTCGTCTGACAAAAGACAGGGCAAGGAACAGAAAATAGGTTTCAGGAGGATGTGGTATCTCTGCACAAGAGTAGCAGCCTGTCATTCCAGAGATCTGCTGAGTGTCCATTAGACCATTCTTTTTTTTTTTTTGTCGGTTGTGGGGCTTGAACTCTGGGCCTGAGTGCTGTCCCTCAGCTCTTCAGCTCAAGGCGAGCGCTCTACCACTTGAGCTACAGCACCACTTCCGGTTTCTGGTGGTTTATTGGAGATAGGAGTCTCACAGTCTTTCCTGCCCGGGCTGGCTTTGAACCCGCGATCCTCAGATCTCAGCCTCCTGAGTAGCTAGGATTACAGGCGTGAGCCACCAGCGCCCGGCTCATTAGACCATTCTTAACTCCATTTGTTTTCTGGTGCTAGTCCTGGGGCTTGAACTCAGGGCTTGGGTGCTGTTCCTGAGCCTTAGCTCCATTCCCAGCTTTTTGGTGGTTAATTGAAGGTAACAGTCTCATGGACTTCCCTATGATTCTCAGATCTCAGCCTTCTGAGTAGCTTCAATGATAAGCATAAGCTACCAGCACCTGGCTGAAAGACCATTCTTTTTATGATGTTTTGATTTGCATTATAAAATGATTAAAGGTGCCCAACACCTTTCAAAGTCATTTCTTTTTATTCATGTGAATACTTAAAATCTACATTCCCCAGCATATTTTAGCTTACAATATTAACTGTAGCTTACTTTTGTTAATATGGTTCAGGCCTCACGACCAGACCCATCCCCCCCCCCCCCCCCCCCGCCAAAAAAAAAATACCCGTTTACCATGACTCTCAACTAGGTATCCTATGGTAACTATCCAAACATTGCTTCATCTGACAGCCTTCCTTAGATCTCTTGCTTGATGTTCAGCAGAACTTCCTACTTTAGTAAACACTGTGGCAAAGCCATCCATGTTATTCCTTGGTGTTTTTCCCTCAATCACCCATTCCCTTGCCCTAGTCCTCTTGATCACATCCCAAAGACATCTCTGATCCTTTCTCCTGGATTTTATAATCACTCCCAAGCTAGTTTATAACTTTAATCAGCTCTCCATGTAGCAGAACTTCTTTCAAGTTCTGTTTGTTTTTAAAGTAAAATCCCAAGCTTAAAGCCTTCTACCAATTTCCCATTATCTGAGAATTATGCCATTATTCCCCATTATCTGAGAATTCCATTATCTGACTCCTTGATTTTACTTAACCAAGTACCATTTTCTTGATTTGGACTCTGCCTTTCTCCTATGATCTCCTTTCTCCTTGCTGTGTTCTAGCTATACTGAGACACTCAGAAACACTGCTTGACTTTAACTCCCCAGCATCGTGCCCTGACTGCAGAGCTCCAAGCACTTATAACCATCTGCTTTCCTATCTGGCTCTCTTCTGTGAGAACTCTAGCACATACTGCCCATTCTGTTGCATTTTACTCTGGGACACCTAGTGATAGACATAATAAATCTTGCTGAATAAACTAAGAAGAGTGGGAGAGGGAGATGAGGTGGGAATTTGTAGAAATACCAGCAATTACAGGGTGGAATGCTAACAGTGAACTTTCCAGGCTCCTACAATATCATACCCTAGATTCTTCTGTTAACAAGAGTGAAGGTCAATAAACCAACGGTTTCTGTGGTTTCTGGCCAATACATTTGTCCTTAGTGACTCCGTAACCCTGTCATTCGTGTAAGCTCCAGTAGTCTGTAGATCTCAGAAACCACGGCAAGCCCCACACCTCATTGGCCTGGTTGGCTCCTATTTCTCTCGTCTTGCCCCAGCCATCACACCTGAGCTTCAGCAAGGAGTCCTACCAGGCCTTGATATAGTTAGTACCCACCAATTTCCTCCTGAATTTCTTGGGCTACAAAGGGAACTTTATAGAGTAGAGAGAGGCTTTGATTCCTTCTTTCTTCAATCACATGGAGATGTGTCATCACCTGAAAGTACAATATGGTGGAAAGCCATGTCACTGGGAACAACCAAGCTAGACAGAAACTCCCTGGAGGGACAGCCTCACACATTTCCACAAAGATTACATCAGGGTTGTACACTTTACAGAGACAAGCAGAGTTGCTAGAAATATATCCATAATGCTAAAGGTACTGATCACTGAACTTTAAGAATATGGTCATGCAGCATATAATACCCCTAAGTAAAATACTCATTTTATCACTTATGAAACAGTAACCCCTCTGTACATCACCCCTAATAACAATATCTGAAAAATATCAACTGAGGAAAAAAAAGAAAATTTTAAAAAATATTTCCTCACCAGCTATTGGCTTTTCACACAAAGCACTTGCCACCAATTAATACACTAAACTGAAAGTCCTCATTTGTACAATGCAGCACATTCTATAAGGTTCTGCTGACTGAAAATGTCAGTTTTTGCCACCTATTAGATTATATGGGGTTAAAAACAGACCCAAATCACTAGCTGAAAATTATGTGGGAAGACAAAACCATTTATGCATTTTGCTTAGTAAAGCAACTGCTTAAAATGATGACAGTGAGAGCAGAACTAGTTTATTTCTTTTTAGCCAAATGACTACTCACACACAAAAAAATACCTCATGCTGAGGTATCAATCTGATATGTTTCTTTTGGTGGTACTGGGTTTTTAAACTCAAGAGACCTGAGCTTCCTAGGGAGGTGCTCTACCAATAAGCCATGTTTTCAGTCTTTTTTTTGCACTGTTTATTTTTGAAGTTGATAGATAAGTAGGGCCTGGCTTTCTTGCCTGGGCATGGTTCCTGGACCATGATCCACCTAAAATAGGTGGATTCTATCATAGCTGGGATGATTCATCACCACTGTGTCCAGCTTCTGTTGAGATAAAGTTTCAAGGTTTTTTTTTTTTTTTTTTTTTTGCCTAGGCTAGCCTAGAATCATAATCTTCCCAATCTCAATCTCCTATACAGCCAAAATTGCAAGCCATGTTACCATGCCCAGCATTTGGTTGAGATCCCCCCCCCCACTCTCCCACCCCAGGACAAAAATTTGTACCAGGGTTGGCCTTGTACTGTGTGTAATCCTCACAGTCTTTGCCATCCAAGTAGCAGGATTGTATGAGTAAGCCAACAAGAAACTGATGTGAAGGGAATGTTAAAAGAATTATCTACTAGAGACCACTTTTTGTCTTTTCTGAAAGAAAAAGGTCCAGACTATTCTTCCCACAAGATCAGTTAGGGTGGAACTGAAACTGACTTGCCCCAAGGACACAGCAAGGCATGTTGTAGTCCACACAAGCTAAAGCTCTTCAGTTCACTCTAAGTTAAGTTCTCTGCCTGGTGACTTGCAATTACTGAGCCTCTCCTAAAGAGGGTGCTTAAAGCCAATGGACTAATTATATGGGCTGAAAGCCATTACAGTGAAGGGTCAAAATGAAAGAAAAAAAAAGCTGAATGTAAAGAGGCTTTTACTGTAGATTGATATGCCTCTGACCTTTAAAAGCAAGGATGAAAGCAATTTAATTTTATATTTGCCATTCTGTCAATCAAGTAAATTGATGGAAAAGCACAGGAGTGAATGCCTTAGGGGAAAGAAAAATGCAAATGGAACTACCCACAGTCTCAGTATGTGTTACACTTCCTCAGATGAATTAAAAAGCTTGAGAGCAGGTGCTTCATACACCCACTGAGGAAAGGTGGAATATTGGAAAATGCTGCTTTTACAGTAACTACAGAGCATGACGAATAAAAGCAATGTTTCACTCATATTCAGCCAAGCAAATATGGCCAAAGGTATACAGGCTGATAACCTATAATCCAAAATCAGAAATGTCCCCAAATCTGTAACATTCATTCAGTCCTGGACATGATGCAGTGGAAAATTACACATCTGATTACTTGTGAAGGTCAGAGTCAAAGTACAAGCACACCAAAAATGCTGCAAAAAATTACTTTTAGGCTATGTGTATAACATAAAATGACGTCTAGACTTGGGTCTGACCTCAGGATATCTTGCTATGTATATAGTATATTGAAAGAAGATCCTAATTCAGATACTTACAAGACTACAGTCTCAAACATTTTGGATAAGGGATATTCAAGTTATAATAGAGCATCTTAGTTCTTCCTAGTGTTCAAGTCACAGAACAGGAAATAGCCAAAAAATAAAAAATAAAAAAAATAATTCAGTGGCCCTGCTCTGCTAGAATTAGAGGTTGATAGAAGATAGCTCACAGGAGAGTTAGGTCTCTCCTGAGATTTCTATAGTGGTAGACCTTTTTACTCCCACTTCACTTGGTATGGTAGTTTGATCTCAGATATTCCCTAATCATTTGTTTAATGTATTGATCAGGGCCAGGGATGTAGAGGAAAAGTTCAATTACAGAGCACTTCCTTAGCCTGAATGAAATCTTGGGTTTGATCCCCAATACAACAATCCCACAAACAAGCAAAAATCAACACACACACACTGGTCTCCTAGTCTTTTCTCATTGGCTATGTTTCCTTAAATATAACACAATAGTCTGATTTACTAACAAAAAGAGAAAATGTGATTTTTTTTTTGTTTACTTTTTCTTTATTTTTGCCAGTCCTGGGTTTGAACTCAGGGACTGGGCTCTGTCCCTAAGCCTCTGTGCTCAAAGCTAGCACTTCACCAGTTGAGCTACAACACTACTTTCAAGTTTTTGGAGTTGTTTATTGGAGCTAAGAGTCTCACAGATTTTTCTGCCCAGCTGGGGTTCGAACCATTATCCTCAAATCTCAGCCTCCTGAGTAGCTAGGATTATAGGCATGAGCCACCGGTGTTTTTTATTGTTATTATTAAGGGGATATACAAGTTTTGTTTAGTCATTTTTAATCAAGAAGACCTGAAAAGCCTAACTAGTTCCTGACAAGACCCATTTTTCTAGCTGTCTTCCTAAAGATACTTCAGGACTCTTCCTTTTCAATACAATCATTTTTCAGCACCTATTTAAATACCAACTACTTAATGTAAAGTACAATAAATTAAAAAAAATTTTTTAATTCAAAAATCATGTACCAAATATCTTTGGAAACCAAAAACCATGTTCAGGGATAATAACAAACACAAGTGACAGTGCTCCTGCATGAGCACAGGCACATGTTCCCTGTGGAAACACGCTGGAGGTGGCAAGTTCTGTGTCCAGCGTACCTGGGATTTCATCTGTGCTGCCTTTTCTGGGTCAACAGCCAACACGTGCTGATAATGACGAATGGTATGCAAGCGATCTTTGTTCTCAGCACGGACATAACGCCGCAAGGCTTGGAGAATGCGATGAGGCTGCAAGAGAAAACAACCGTTGTTTGACACCCAGAGAATTCCAATAGGTAAGGAAAACAAAAGCTGAACAGTTCATTCAAGAGAGGGAAACCAGGGCAAAGCAAAGGAAGGGGTGAAAAAAAGAATGTACTCTTTACCTGACTTATGTAACTGTAACACCTTTGTATATCACCATAATACTAACAATAAAAATATTTTTAAGTTGTTCAGAAAAATATGTATTCATTACCTGATAATCCTCATTACCTCATAACCCTGCTGTAATAACACCTTAATAACAATAAAATCATTAAAAAAAAAAAAAAGAATGCAAAGCTTAGCCAGGCACTAGTGAGTCATGCCTATAATACTAGTTACGCAGGAGGCTGGGACCTGAGGATCATGGTTCAAAGCCAGCCAGGGCAGAAAGCCTTGGATTCTCTTATCTCCAATTAATTACCAAACAAGCCAGAAGTAGAGCTATGGCTCAAGTGGTGGAGTACCAGCCTTGAGCAAACAAGCTCAGGGAAAGTATCCAAGGCCTTTGGACCAAGCACCTAGGACCAGCACCAAAATTGAAGAAAAAGCAAAGTTTAGCTATGAAAACTGTATCCCTGGAAGCTTTTTTAGGCTACCAAATAACAAGAAACTATCTTTCTCAATAAAATATCATTACCTTCAATCTTTGTCAAAACTTGTCATAAAAATAAAGTTTTTAAGGGGCTGGGAATGTGGCTTAGTGGTAGAATGCTTGCCTAGCATGCATGAAGCACTGGGTTCAATTCTTCTGTACTACATAAACAGAAAAAGCCAGAAGTGGCACTGTGGCTCAAGTGGTAAAGTGCTAGCCTTGAACAAAAGAAGCAGCTCAAGGACAGTGCCCCAGGACTGGCAAAAAAAAAAAAAAAAAAAGTTTTTACCAACCTGTGTGTGCCATTCATTGAGATTCCATTAAATATGCTACCTTAGGGGAGGCAACCCTGAAGAAGACTAACCAAGGTACAGCTCAGATTGCAACTCACCCGAGGTGGGTCAGACTGCAGGGCAGCCAGGTAATTCTCCAGAGCCATCCGTCGGCGGTCATTCAGCATGGCTTCCACTCGAGCCAGGTGGGTTTCCACCAGCTGCTGCTTCTCACTGGCAGCCTCCTTCTCTAAAGCTTTAACCATAGCTTGGAAATGCTGCATCCAGAAAGGAAGAACAATGCTAATTTGTAGTAGCTGGAGGGGGTAATCTAAGTAAGCACCCTTCTTTGTCCAGTGCCTATCCAAGGCAGGAATAAGGTCAGAGAATCAAACAGGGTAGGATGAAGGTGTACTTTACATAATTTCTACCAGGATCAGTACTTTCTTACATTAGAAAAACCAGTCACATTTCAGTGTGAAAAGAACTGTTTAGCATTTCCCCAACTGAAAATTACTAGTGTGTCAAGCTCAATTGTCTAGGTTTTCAATGTACACTATAGCACTATAGTAAAAGAAATACTGTCCTTTCTATGTTATAACAAGGTGCCAGCCCTGAACTAAGTGGCCAATAGATGAGGTATATTGAAACACAATCAGGTCAAATGTGGTAGGTTACACTGAATCGTGTTAAAAGTTGTGATGGTCTAGATAAAAATGGCAAAGAAAAACATGAGGAAGTTTTCATTAGCTCTGGCTATAAAGGAAATGCAAATAAAAACAACCCTGAGATACCACCTTACCCGTTAGAATGGCCTACATTCAGATGACAAATGTTGGCGGAGATGCAGAGAAAGAGGAATCCTACTGCACTGCTGGTGGGAATATAAACTGATTCAACCACTTTGGAAAGAAGGCTGGAGGTTCCTCAGAAAACTAAAGATAGACCTTCCCTACAACCCAGCCATACTACTCCTAGGCATCTACCCTGAACAACAGGAACCAGGATCCAAAGAGACATGCACCTGCATGCACAGCAGCCAAAAATGGAAACAACCCAGATGCCCCACTACACATGTATGAGGTACCTATATACAACGGAATATTACACAGCCATTAAAAAGGACAAAATAATGGCATTGCAGGGAAATGGATGGAACTATTAGAAATCATGTTGAGTGAAATAAGCCAAGATCAGAGAAACAAATGGTATATGGTCTCCCTGATACGCGGATGTTAAATTCAAAAGGCAACAAGATATGACAAAGTAAACAGGACTTCTTAATTTGTTGCATCATTTTTAGATGACTATATTCTTGACCCCACATATGGTATATACATTTGTACATAGGAGGGAAGCTAGGAGGATACAGAATCAGAGGAAAATAGGGTGGGGGGAAGCAAGCTAGTGCCAGTTACTAAAGAAGCAGAGGTAGTTACATGGAAGTCTATGGCAAGCCTAGGGCAAAATTGAGAGACATTATCTGAAAAACAGACTAAAAGCAAAGGATTAGAGTTGTTGGTTCAAGTCACAGAGCAGTTCAATGTCTAGTATCACCAAAGAAAAAAGAATTTTCCAGTAACTCCATGTCAATCACATCAGCCAATTGCATTGTTCAAGAAAAATATTTTCTGTTGTGTATATAAAAGTAATTTTCAGCAGGGCGCTGGTGGCTCACACCTGTAATCCTAGCTACTCAGGAGGCTGAGATCAAAGGATCACTGTTCAAAGCCAGCTGGGGCAGGGCAGGAAAGTCCAGAGCAGGAAAGTCCGTGAGACTCTTATCTCTAATAAACCACTCAGAAAAAAAAAAAAAAGAAGTGGCACTGTGGCTCAAGTGGTACAGCACTAGCCTTGAGTTAAAGAGCTGAGGAACAGCACCTAGGCCCAGAGTTCAAGCCCCATGACAGACAAAAAAGTAATTTTCACAAATGACTCAGTAGCCAAATTCAGTATTATTTCTTTAAGGGATGAATTCATAATGTTAACTATCTTACTCATGACATTAACTAAACTCCATTGCAAATATAGTTTGTAAAAACCATTAATAAATAAAATAAAAATAAAAAGTTCGGAGGGGGGGGCTGGGAAGGTGGCTCAGTGGTAGAGCGCTTGCCTTGCATGCCTGAGGCCCTGGGTTCGATTCCTCAGTACCACATAAGAAAAAAGCCGGGAATGGCGCTGTGGCTCAAGTGGTATAGTGCTAGCCTTGAGCTGAAGTGCTGAGGGACAGCACCCAGACCCAGAGTTCAGGCCTCACAACCGGACCCCCCCCCCAAAAAAAAAAGTTCAGAGGGGGAAAAAAAAAAGTTGTGACAGTCTGAGTTACTGAGGAGGCACAGACAGGATTGTGGTTTGAGGCCAGTCAAAGCTAAGGTTATTGAAATCCTATCTCAAAAAAGGTCTATGGTCCCAGCTATTCAAAGCTAGAGGTAGAAAAATCCAGTTTGATACAACCCCAGAGTTAATGAAAGACCCTGACAAATTAAAAAGCCACAGGACAGGGCATAGTACAAAATGGTAAAAGTGCTGGTGCTGACCAAGTAAACTCGGGCCCTGAGTTCAATTTTTAGTACTAAAAAATTAAAGGGCAAGTAATTTGTGAGGTAGAGCTTAAGGACTAGTGATAGTGAAGTAAATTTCCTTGGGCTGGGAAGGTGTCTCAGTGGTAGAGCTCTTGCCTTGCATGCATGAGGCCCTGGGTTCGATTCCTCAGCACCACATAAGCAAAAAGAAAAAAGCTGGAAGTGGTGCTGTGGCTCAAGTGGTAGATCGCTAGCCTTGAACTGAAGAGCTGAGGGACAGCGCCCAGGCCCAGAGTTCAGGCCCCATGCCCGGACCAAAAAACAACAACAACAACAAAAAAAAAAAGAAGTAAATTTCCTTGCACAAGGTCCATTGGCTTGTGCATAAATTAAAATTCAGATTTTTTTTTTAGGTGACCAATAAAGAGAAGGTCTTCTCCAGAATTAGTATTCTTGCTTGTCTTTTTTTTTTTTGGTCAGTTGTAGGGCTTGAACTCAGGGCTTTGAGTGTTGTCCCTAAGCTCTTTTGATCAAAGCTTAGTGCTCTACTACTTTGAGCCACAGCTCTATTTCCAGTCTTTGAGTGGTTAATTGGATGTAACAGTCTCACAGGGACTTTTCTGCTTTGAACTGTCATCCTCAGATCTCAGTCTCCTAAGTAGTTAAGATTACAGGCATGAGGCACCAGCACCGGCAAGAAATAGTATTTCCATGAAAAACTAAGTGCAATAATTACAGGAAGGAGGGATGGAGGGATAGTTAACCATTTTCCAAAATCAATTGTGTGATTTGCTATCCATGTATCTAGCAATCTCTCCTACAGAAGAGAAACATACTCTGTTGCTGATTTTAATGTTGTATTCTTATGAAGTCATAGATGAACTGGAATTAGAAATGCTTTTTGTACTTTTGATTTAGTCTGGGGAAAAAAAAAACCAGTACTGATGAAAAACAAGTCACAGCCCAAGAACAAAGATGACAGAGAACTTTTGCCAGGACCAGAATTAACAAACGGCAGCTGAGCTAAGGTTACTTCCTGGCATGAATTGGGTGTGCTCTGGGAGAGGGTTTGGTTTCCTTCTGCCATAGGTGAGCAATACTAGAGGTGAAAAAGAAAAAAATAGGTCAGCTACAACTTCCTTGTAACTTAAGCTCTTGACTCAAAGGAGGTGTCAAATTCAAATTTGCTGGGAGTTTGACTCTAACCATAATTTCAACTGGCCAGACTGGATGCTTTGTCTCTTGTCCCTGGAGAACACATCTTACCTGAATAAGGGTCTGTCTCTCTGCTTTGGGGAGATTCTTGGCTTGAAGCTCTGCCTCTTCCCATTCCTTCTTTACCTACAAAGGTCAAAAACACCCACCACAGAATGATTCTCTGAAACAACTTCCTTATTTTCTAAAAATACAGCCAGGCGCTGAATCCAATGTCGGCGGAAACTGTGCAAATGGAAACCGATCATATGATCCCTTGTGAGGCTCAGAGCTGTTAACCCAGAGGATTCTAGACCTTGGCTATCCCTAGATGAAAGCCTCAATTCTCTGACCTCCTTGTTACATAACCTTGGGCAAGTTATTTAAAAGTCTCTGTGCCTTTGTCCTCTTATAAAATAAAATAAAAATGATGGTCATGCCTAGTTCTCAGAACTGATATGGGTAAGTCCAGCACACGTTGTCTGGTAGAGCTCAGACCTAGGGAAGGATGCCTTTGTCAACTTCCTTTCAATCCAGAGTGAGTCACGAGGGAAGCTGCACTCTGGATAGCCAGTGCTCCAACACTTAAAACTATTCTTCCGCCAGGTGGTGGTGGCTCTCAGGAGGCTGAGATCTGAGGATCCCAGTTCAAAGCCAGCCTGGGCAGGAAAGTTTGTGAGACTTTTATCTCCAATAAACCACCAGAAAAACGGAAGTGGCGCTCGCTGTAGCTCAAGTGGTAGAGCGCTCGTCTTGAGCTGAAGAGCTGAGGGACAGTGCTCAGGCCCAGAGTTCAAGTCCCAGGATCAACCAAAAAAAAAAAAAAAGACTGTTCTTCTCAAGTCATAGAATCACCTTCTACTCCCAATGGTATATAGTAGAATGTTTTAATATGTTAGCTTCATCTAACACTTTCGGTGGGGATTTTTGGCCAGTCCTGAGACTTGAACTCAGGGCCCCGGCACTGTCCCTGAGCTTCTTTTGTTCAAGGCTAGCACTGTACCACTTCAGCACAGCGCCACTTCCGGCTTTCTGTTTATATGGTACCAAGGAATGAAACCCAGGGCCTCATGCATGCTAGGCAAGCATTCTACCACTAAGCCACACATTACCAGCCCCATCTAAGATGTTTTCACGGTTACCTTTTCTCATGGCTAATAATTTTCATCTATTTGTAAATAACAGTGATGTAAAAGGCCCAGGGTTGGATCTCTACCACCATACATTAAAAACTACCAGACTACTAGATGCTGAACACCATGAAGATAGGAAGTAGGCAAGTTTACCCTGTCCATTCGGTTGCGGTGCCGAATTTCCAATTGTTCCTTAGCCTTCTGGAAGCGAGCATGCTCATTATCATCTGCTGACGTCTCAAAATACACATCAACATCATTGGTTGGCAGAGGTGTTGGGGGAACTGAAACAAAATTACAGAGAATTAATTTGTCTTTTTGGTTCAGGCATAATATTAAAAGTGTTCTAGGAAGAAAACTCAGCTCAGGACCTGCAGGATGGACTCAATTTGTCTTGTAGCTTGCTAAAAGGGCAGGATGTTGCTGTCTGCCAAGACTTCACTCTGTTGGATTACAGTGGGCAATCTTCTTTACATAATATTCATCAACCATGTCAGTCCATGCTAATACAGCAATTTATTGGTAGCTCAACCTCCAGTATCTTCAACACCCAAGAGGCATCTCCACTTAACCAGATAAAAGAAATACCTGCTTCTATACCTTCCTTCCCTTCAGTGCTTAAAAATCTAAAAGCCTAAATATAACTACTCTACTGTTCTGTCACTAATAGCATCTAAACGAGGCTGAATTTAGACCCTGAGAAGGCACTTCTACCAAGTGTCCACTTTATAAGCAACTTGACACTTGGGTCCCTTTCTTCTTCTACAATCTTTAGGTCTTAAATTTACTCTGGAAAACTAGTTCATTAAATATTCTTTGCATGTGGGCCAGATAGAAACAAAATTCACTCTATAATTTTGAGGCTTCAACATCATTCAAAGATTCACATACTCCCCCCTGCAATAACAGAGCTAATGAAGGTAAAATTGAGTTTTTATCTTTCCACTTATGTAAAGACACCTTGGGCTTAGCTGATTTGTAACACTGTTGGAGGGGCCTCTCCAGATATTATTCTCCATAGAGAATAGTCCATTAGAACAGACAGCCCTCACCTCATTGCCCCTGGCAATTAAGTATCAACACATTGGAATCTACCTCCAAAAGGAAAGGACCAAGACAGAGCAAGTTAACTCAGTCATCCCTCAAGAAATACCCATAGAGACGCTTATCAGTAATTTGAGTCACTGGAGATTTCCCAAACAGGGGAGAAATGATGTGAAACTTACTCAGTGTATAGAGACAATTTTGGAGCTAAGCAGAAAGCAAACACCAAGATTCAACTATATTTAAACCCAGAAACAAATTCATCTAATTTCCAGTACATTTTTAATCCATTTAATAATTATATAACTGATAAATATAGGTAGAAATTAACCAGCCACTCCAGTTTCTCTATCAGAAGACTTTTGCTTTGTTCCCTTTCATTTGATTGACTTAAAGGCTACAACTAAAATCTTGTTAAGAGTGTTTGAGTCCTATGTCAGTTTATAAGGATCTTGATATCCAACTTTCTTTCAGATTAATTGATTTAGATGGTATCATTTAGCAAAATCACATTCTCTAAGAAACTCAAAGTTCAATAAGGGAAAATTTCAACTTCATCAGCGCCAATATTCACAGGATCAACAATACGTGTCTGCAATATAAAAACTTAGGTGCCATGAAAGGTGCCTATCCATGGGCCAAACAGATTATGCAAAACATGCCTTCACATGGGGACAAAAGAGGAAAAAAATAGCATGTCTAAAGCTGTGATGAGCTCAGAGCAGAATCCATGACAGGCTCATGAAGTTGCCTCTCTCCCTTTTGAGGAGGGACACAAGCGTGTGTGACCATTGGAAATGTCACTTCCAGAATTTGAAGGCCCTTCAAGTATTGAACTACTTGTTTCTCTTCAGCCAATCTCAAAGCTATAGGAAACAATCCTGTAATTCCACCTGTACATCATGTCTCAGAGCACTATGTATCTGAGATTTTCGGTAGAGACTGCCACCTGTTTTCAGTGAGACCTTAATTTCTCCAGCTTTAATCCAAAACAGTTTTTGCTGATCCTTTGACAAAGTAATAAGTATCACAATAACTGTTATCTCTAAATCTTTCCTGAATAAACAAAAGTTTATACACCAAAGATCCCTAGGGATTATTGTGTCTTACATTTTACCAAGTCTGTCAAAAACAGCTTTTCCTGCTAGGTGCCAGTGGTTCATAACTATAATGCTAGAGGAAATCTGAGGATCATGGTTCAAAGCCAGTCTGGGAAGGTAAGAATATGAGACTTTTATCTCCAAGTAACCACCAAAAAGCAAGAAACACAGCTGTGGCTCAAGTGGGAAAGCACCAGCCTTGAGAGAAAACATCAAGGGACAGGACCCAAGCCCTGAGTTTAAGTCCAGTACCAGCACAAAAACAAAACAACAACCCCTCCCACCCCCACTCACATAGCCTGTCCCTAGAGCAGCAGCTGGGGAAGAAGCATTGATAGCTTGCTGCATTAGATTAAGATTTTAAGCCTCTTTGGGAAGAGGAAGAAGAGGGATTTTCAAAGTATTTCATTCAGTGAAAAAACCATCAGAAGCAATAGCCCAATACCAATACAGCAATTACAAAGAGGCAATAATGCTCATTACTCTGATGAATTCCAGAACCAGGAGCAAGGAAATATGCCGAGCCTGAGGATTTTCTAAATACAGTTCACCAAGAATAGACAGGGTCATAAAAAAGGAATGGAGAAAACTTTTTCCTACCTATGTTAACATAAAACCAACTCAAATAAGGCACTGTACCTTGTCTGATACCAAAACAATACACAGACTGAATTCTCATTAGTCCTTGGAGCTTTGCCCAAACACCAGAGAACAGCCATGACCTCTTAGGATTGCAGAGCTCTCTCCTTGGAGTATATAATGCAAGTTATTCCAATATTCTGGAATCTCACAAGTATTTCTATTGTCAGTCCTTTCAAGAGCAAGCATCTCAAAAGGTGGCATACAGCACAGTAGTGAGTAACAGGGTTAAGTGGAAAGAAGAGCAGGATAAGCTAGGCACAGGTGGCTCATGCCTGTAATCACAGCTACTCAGGAGGCTGAGATCTGAGGATTATGGTTCAAAACCAGCCTGGGCAGGAAAGTCCGTGATACTCTTCTCTCTAATCAACCACCAGAAAACCGGAAGTGGCACTGTGGCTCAAAGTGGTAGAGCACTAGCCTTTCACAAAAGGATAGAGCCCAGACCAAAAGTTCAAGCTCCATGATTAACACCCTCCCTACCCCTCCCATCCAAAAAAGGAGCAGAAGTGAAGCCTAAGGTACAAGCGTGTATAGAACACAGGGCTATTCAGTTACCTACTGGTGCTTTCCAACTAGATAGCCAAGGGTTCACATCCCTTCCCAACCAACACTGATTGCAGCATCCTGGGAAGCTGAAGGGCCTGAAGGCCAATGAGAAAGAAGAAGCCCTTGGATGTGCCACCCACTGCAAACAGGGAAGATACATACCACTACCAACAATCAACCAGCAGACACATGGGAAGCAGGGGACATGGAAAACTGAACTCAGACTGCCAGAAGGAAAGCAAAGCCTCACTCTAGAAAGCACAAAGATGAGGGGAAAACGACTGACAGCAAACACCTGAGCCAGCGGAAACATGACACAGATGCGGTCACAAGGACAGCTGGGAGAGACAGAACGCTGGACAGGACAGCGCTGCTTCGAGGGGCCAGCACAAGGCGGGACTTACTCATCGCTTTACACACAGCCATACAATAATCCTCAGACTCAAAATTGTTCCTGTTGCCGCCGCAGCCGCCATATATAAAGCGCACGCACTTTCCCTTGGAGAGGTCGAAGTACCAACGAGGCATCACAGCCCGGCAGGGCCCCGTCATCGCCTCCTGGGAGCAGACAGCTGTGTGAAAATGGTCAGAGTGTCAGCAGGGCAGAGGCAGAGCTTCAAATGCTTCTTCACAGTGCTACAACAGGCCAGCGGGGGTGGGGCAGGGACCATGACTGGACCCAAAGGCTTCACTAATCTAACTCACTAACACAGGTCAGGTGTGTGGTACGAACAGTCACATTCTACATGACAAAGGTATTTAGGGAATTTTTTTTTCTTTTTTTTTTTTTGTGCCAGTCCTGGAGCTTGAACCAAGGGTCTGGGTACTACCCCTAACCTTTTATACTCAATGTTAGTGTTCTACCACTTGACCCACATCTCTATTTCTAGCTTTTTGGTACTTAACTGGAGATAAGAGTGTCATGGACTTTCCTGGCTTTGAACTGTGACCCGCAAATCTCAGACTCCCAAGTAGCTAGGATTACAGGCAGTGAGCTACCAATACACAGCAAATGGAATTCTTAATTTTTTTTCAAGTCTAAATTGATTGTAGGGTGACAGGAATGTCTTGTGTTATAGCTCCCCACATTTCTGATCTGTATAGTGAAGATAGTGGCCTCATTTGCCTATTTTCATGGTTTCAAGGACCAAAGGCATCAATGTTGGTAGGAAGGGCATTTAAAATGGTGATAACTGTAGCAAAGACTTTGCACCTGGAAAGGAGAAGTGTTCTTATTTTCATGTTCCCCACAGCAAATAATTTCACCCCAGTTGGGTGCTAAGTAATTCTTTAGATTTTTTGTTTTGTTTTGTTTTTTGGGTCCGGTCGTGGGGCCTGAACTCTGGGCCTGGGCGCTGTCCCTCAGCTCTTCAGCTCAAGGCTAGCGCTCTACCACTTGAGCCACAGCGCCACTTCTGGCTTTTTTCTTTTGCTTATGTGGAGCTGAGGAATCGAACCCAGAGCCTCATGCATGCAAGGCAAGCGCTCTACCACTGAGCCACCTTCCCAGCCCCAATTCTTCAGACTTTTTAATCTTAGTTGGTTTCAGCAGATGGCTATGCAATCATCACAATTTAATGATCTTAAACGGGCAAGATCATCCAACTTCACCTTGCCAGCTACAAACACCAGGAAAGATAAGGTAGCCTATAAACTGGAACATACTCAGGGAAAGAAAAACTTACTCCATTCTAAAAAAAAACCAGCACCTAAAGATATGGAAGAATCCTGTTTTAAGAGCAGACTATTTATTTGGCTTTTATTCTCTAATGCAAATTATTTCTCTGGCTTAGCTATGCATGTCTCCTGGTGCCTGCCTGAGCACTGCTAATATGGCTCCACCACCACCCGGGAGAGTTGGATTCTCTCTTTCAGTGCAGACACCACCTTTCCTTCTAACACTTACCTGTGATGAACGATGAAAGCAGTACAAATTCTAAGTAAATAATTAACATGTGGACTTTTAAAGCCATGTTTTATCACTGGTTACCTTTAACATCGTGAACAATTTCCTTGTCTGAAATAGAGCCCTCGCTGCTAGGTTCAGTTGGGTTCTCCTCATCATAGTCATCTCCTTTAAAGGTGTCATAGTAGTAATCTCGGTCTTCTACCACTTCCTCTCCTTCTTCCTCCTCCTCCTCATCGTCGTCATCGTCATCATCATCGTCGTCGTCATCATCATCTTCATCCACAGCTGCTTCTGTGAAGTCTTCCAAAACTGTTTCAGTAGGAAATTCACTAAAGATCATACAAAAAAAAAATAAGAAAGGTTAATACTAATTCCTTTGCACAAAGCCCAACAATTGCTCCCTTCACTACTTTGAAACACAAAGACAGGAAATAGTTACACTAAATAGTGCCACTAAAGCCCTTAGTCCAGCTGTATCAGCAAAAGGGAAGTTATTGAGCATAGACTGTGTTAACCTACAGAAAACAATGTAGCTGGGACTGGGAATGTGGCTTAGCGGTAGTGCTTGCCTAGCATGCACAAAGCCCTGGGTTCAATTCCTCTGCACCACACAAACAGAAAAGGCTGGAAGTAGTGCTGTGGCTTAAGTGGTAAGAGTGCCAGCCTTTAGCAAAAGAAAGCTCAGGCCCTGAGTTCAGTCCCTAGGACTGGCAAAAACAATGTAGCCAAGAACAATGGAAAGCCCAAAGTCCCACGTTCTCATATGATCAGGTATGGCCAGAATGAAATGAAGGCTACAGAGCAGCATAATCAGGGGAAGCCTATCTTACCCAGCAGTGAGGGGCCAATTACCAACAGCCACTTTACAGAAAGGCTAAGAAAACAGGGTCAGTGGTTTCAGAGTTCTGGGAAGAGTTTACCTTTTATAAACATCATAGTCTTCCTCCTCATCTTCCTCCTCGTCCTCCTCTGCCTCTTCTTCCTCTTCTTTGGACACAGTAGAATCAACAGAGTCACTTATCTTTGTCTGAGGGCAGCATACATATTCTGTGCCATGAAACTGGTCTACACCACAGGGCAGCAGCATGCCGTAGCTATATAAGGTCATCCCCTGAGTTAGACATGCCTGTAAGAGATCCACAGCTCACATCACAACACAATCCATTAACACCCTCCGAGTCTTGGCTTTATTTTAAAAAACAAACCAAAAACAACAACAAAAATAACAAACTATGAAATTACTACATAATGCCTTTTTCTTACGGACATAACCATTTTTCTGTTTAAAAAGTTAGGATACTATTAAGATTTGTACATTTTATTTAACTTACAACACTGTATGAGGTCAAAAACATTACCAGCCCAACGTGGAAAAAGAGACAAGAAAGAGGGAGTTTCTTCCAAGAAGTATCAACATCAATTAAAGATGGTTAATGCTAATTTCTGTTATCACGCATACAGTCATTACTTCAAAATTTGGCCAAAAAAAATACTGACCAGAAAACCAATCTAATCATGGACAACAAGTGTAAGAAAAGGTGTTCTTCTCCACCAAGTCTGCCTGTGTACAAGTCCAGGCCCAAGTTTTCTCAAGTTGGCTATTCCCACTTGAGTTTGTTCTAGAGAGTCTAGAGAGTCCTATTGACAGTATACAGATGTTTTACTTTCCTTTGTTTTAGTTTCTCCTTTATTTGCGGTACAGGGGGGCTGCAGTATTGGTATATTATCTTTTTTAAAAAATTCTGATCAAACTCATATACACTAGGCAAACAATCTATTACTTAAGCCAACTCAAATAAGAAGAAAATGCCACTGAAGTTTTCTTTCTTCTTGGTGGGGAGGATGTTGTTTGAGTGAGAGTCAAGAGATGAGGATTACACAAGACCACTTCCACTGAGCAAGATCCCTGGCTACCTCTAACAGCTTTAACTTGAGGGGGCGGGTTGCCTATGCTGTACTTTCCCTACAAAAACATCTATTCCAAAGATATAAGTAAGTGAAGCTAATGGAAAGTGTGGTAAGACTGGAGACCAGTGCTATTTTCTCTTCTATAAGATTCAACATTGTTCAGCTTTTCCTGGTCCATATTCTTACCTCTTTGACTACAGTATGCCAGTGCTGGTGATTCTCACACACATCCATCCGTTCTTTGTGGAAAAACTGGCATTTTTCTGGAACTAGCAGAACATCACTTACAAATTCACCCACTGGGGGAAAATAAAAAGAATCTTTGTCAAAAGCAAATCTGATTAGGATTAAAGGTGAAAACAACTTTTTAAACTGCAGAATAGGGCTGGGAAGGTGGCTCAGTGGTAGAGCGCTTGCCTCATCTGCATGAGGCCCTGGTTTTGATTCCTCAGCACCACATAAACAGAAAAAGCCAGAAGTGGAGCTGTGGCTCAAGTGGTAGAACGCTATACTTGAGCTGAAGAGCTCAGGGACAGCGCCCAGATCCAGAGTTTAAGCCCCACGACCCAACAACAACAAAAACTTGCAGAATAATGGCAGTTATATATCCAAGTGTATAAAACAGTCTCTAATGCCAATAGGTAAAATGATTGTTACATAAACTCATTCTGTCAAGGACATAAGTCAGAAACTAACTTTCTTACTTTCTTGGGGATCATGAATAGGATACCCCTCTTCATGACCACCTCAAATAAACAGCCACTGAACTCACATGAGTAAGAGTCCTAGCCTCTTCCCTATTTTGGCCCACACATGTTCCAATAACCAAATGCCCAGGAAACTAATATTATTGCAATGGATTCCAGTAAGAATCATCAATCAGTGATTAATTGCAAAGAGGGCAAAGGTGTGTTTTCAATGGGAAACTCTAGAAAAACTATCCTATTAGGTAACCAAATTAATATCATGATAATGGGGAAGCTGACACATGCAATGTGCTAAAAAGCTCATGTCAATATCATTTTACAGTGTTTGCCAAATGAATCATTTGAGTCTAATCATGATAAAGTAGTAAGAAAAATCCAAAGTAAGGAATAATCTGTTAAACAAATGGCCTGAACCCTTAAAACCTATCATTAAAAAACTTGGGAACAGTTTAATAAAATGAATACCAGGACGCCGAAGCATGTTTTTGGAGAGGGATTAAGGCAAATGGAGAGAGGAAGGGTGGGTAAATAGTCATTATATTCAATGTACACATGTGAAAATGGAGCCCCTAAACTTGAAGGTATAGGTGGGGTTGGGAAAGATTGGGGTGAACAATGGAAAGGTTAACAAGGATCGAGAAGCATTGTACTTATAAACTGATTTGTTGAACTGAAACCCCTTCATACAACTACTTAAAGATTAAAAAAAATGGTGCTATTCTAGACCAATATATAATCCATTTTAGAAGGGAGCTATAAACATCATTATTTGAACATTTAGGGATACATACATACACACATACATATTGGTTGTGGGGCTTGAACTCTGGGCGTGGGCACTGTCCCTCAACTCTTCAGCTCAAGGCTGGTGCTCTACCACTTAAGCCACAGCATCACTTCCAGTTTTCTGGGTAATTAATTAGAGATAAGAGTCTCATGGGCTTTCCTGCCCAGGCTGGCTTTAAACCGTGATCATCAGATCTCAGCCACCTAAGTAGCTAGGATTACAGGCATAAGCCACCGGCGTCTGGCTCTAGGGATATTTAAGTGTCATAATTATTACATAGGAGATTGTTACTACTCCTAGATGGACGGTTTAACAAGTTCCTCCTTACCCCCATATAAGGGGTAGGGTTAAGGGGCAGGGAGAGAGAAGGAAAGAATATAGATGCACTACTTTATTTTTTTCTTTTCTTTCAAATTTTTTTTTTTGGAGGGGGGGTCAGTTGTGATGCTTAAACTCAGGGCCTGGGTACTGTCCTTGAGATTTTGTGCTCAAAGCTAGCACTCTACCACTTTGAGCCACTTGTGGTTTTCTGGTGGTTAACTGAAGATACTAGTTTCACGGATCTTCCTACCTAGCCTGGCTTTGAACTGTGGTTCTCAGATCTCAAGTCTCCTAAGTAGCTAGGTGTGAGCCACCAGCATCCAGTTCTCTCTCTATATGTTTTTTTCTTTTCTTTTCTTTTGCCTGTCCTGGGGCTTGAACTCTGGACCTGGGTGCTGCTCCTGAGACACTATGTTCAAGGCCAGTGCTCTATCACTTGCAGCTTTTTCTGAGTAGTTTTTTAGGGTTAACAGTCTTCATTAGAAATCTAGACACCACTCACTGTAGTTTCTCACACTTGGAAAAAGTTGAAGCATGTTTCAGTGTGGGCATTCTGAGTATCTCCTACCTAAAAAAACAACACAACTTCATAGCCATCTTACAGTTATTTCCTTCATCCTTGCTATCTCTGGCACCTGTTTTTTAATGACCATTTATGACCCATAAGTATCTTGGACTGGTTTTTTGTTGTTTTGTTTTGATTTTTTGCTTGTTTGGGTCCGGTCGTGGGGCTTGAACTCTGGGCCTGGGCGCTGTCCCTCAGCTCCTCAGCTCAAGGCTAGCACTCTACCACTTGAGCCACAGTGCCACTTCCGGCTTTTTTCTTTTTGCTTATGTGGTGCTGAGGAATCGAACCCAGGGCCTCAGGCATGCAAGGCAAGCGCTCTACCACTGAGCCACCTTCCCAGCCCTTGGACTGGTTTTAAACAGAGCTTTGTACCAGATTTGCTGGAGCATCTGTCCAGCTCTTGGTATCCTGTAGTTTATTTTCTGGGTAGACATTCTTATATTGTTTTTAAAATCAGATCATCCCTTCTATATTGAAAGCATTTTTTTGGAGGGGAGAGGGGTCAGCCATAGGGCTTGAACTCTGCGCCTGGGCACTGTCTCTCAGCTCTTCAGCTCAAGGTGAGTGCTCTACCACTTAAGCAACAGTACCACTTGCAGTTTTATCATGGTTAATTGGAGATAGGAGTCTCACGGACTTTTCTGTCTGGGCTGGCTTTGAACCGTGATCCTCAGATCTCAGCCTCCTGAGTAGCAAGAATTACAGGCATGAGTAACTTGTACCCGGCTTCATTGAAATCATTTTTATGTTTTCTAATTTAATATTTAATATTTTTATAGATATTGTGCAATAAAGCTGAAGTAGAATATGTTGTTGTACAAATGCTTTTAACAGCTTATAAAATTTTACATTTGTAAAATTAATATATTATATTGTACACAATAGTTTTAAATTATATTTTGAGAAGCTCTTCCCCAACCCCCTAAAAAAAGTTTCATGGACCTTTCTGCCCAAGCTCGCTTCAAACCACAGTCCTTACATTTCAGCCTCCTGAGCAGTTAGAATTACAGGCGTGAACTATCAGCGCCTGGCAATATCGTTTTTCTTTAAGCCTAAAATTTTCCAAGAAAGAAGAGGTATCCGGGCCATCATGGATGCATGAGGATGGGGATGGGGTGCAGGTGCTGTGGTAAAGTGACTCCTGAATTGATGAGTGTTAAACAGTTGGGCAACAAGGACATCGAGTTTAATTGTTAAATTATCTATCACGTTTAATTTTCTACAACATGAATTTTCAATGATAGTTTGATAATTTCAAAAAATAATTAAACAAAAGTAATAGACATACTCTTTATATTCCTAAGTCCTTCTCTTTTGGGCTGTTTCTTGTTGTGTTGTCTTTTGTACCTGTACTGGGCTTGACCTCAGAGCCTAGGCACTGTTCTTCACCTTTTTCACTCAAGACTGGTGCTCTACCACTTGAGTCACACCTCTACTTCCTTTTGGTGGCTAAATGGATAAGAGTCTAATGGACTTTCCTGCCCAGGGTAGCTCCAAAGATACTCAGATCTCAGAATCCTGAGTAGCTAGGACTACTACACTAGCCCTCAGCTCGGCTAAAAAGTTCAGTTTGTTTCTCAGGCCTGGACGGTCTGAGCACTGTCCCTAAGGTATTCCCCCACTACCCCTCAAGGCTAGCACTTTACCACTTGAGTCACAGCTCCACCTCCAGATTTTTTTGGTGGTCAACTGGAGACAAAAGTCTCAGTTTTTTCCTGCTTGGGCTAACTTCTAACACAACCCTCAGTTTCTTGAGTAGCTAGGATTGGATTATAGGCATGAGCCAATGACACTTAGCTCAACCTTTTATCTTGTTTTTAATAAAAGAGTATCAGCCAGGCGCTGGTGGCTCATGCCTGTAATTGTAGCTACACAGGAGTTTGAGATCTGAGGATCATGGTTTAAAGCCAGCCTGGGCAGGAAAGCCTGTGAGACTCTTATCTCCAATTAATCACCCAGAAAACTGGAAGTGGGGCTGTGGCTCAAGTTGGTAGAGCACCAGCCTTGTGCTGAAGAGCTGAGGGACAGTGCCCAGGCCTGTAGTTCAAGCCCCATGACAGACAGACAGGCGCGTGTGTGTGTGTGTGTGTGCGCGCGCACACACACACACACACACACACACAATCAGAATGATCCCATTTAGAAAAGAAAAAAAGTATACACATTCCCACATGTCATCAAAGAAAAATATTCTCATATATACAAAATGTTACCTAACCAGAGTTAACTAAATGTAGAAACTAGAAATGGACTCATTTTACTCCCTGGCTCCACTGCAAAGTTCTTTCAGCTTTCAGAACACTGAAAATGGTTTGACCTCCCTTTTAAAGTTTATGTCCAAGTTTGTAAGGACAATCCTCAATTTTTAACCAAACTACAGTATAACTGCCATAATTTCCTACATTATTGAACAAACATAAAGCTGCATTGTTTTGCTACAGAATACGGCAAACCTAACCTACATGATTCCAGATCAGCTTCAGTTTATCGCCCACCTGTATAAATTCCCTGAGATTCCATACCTTTCATATCGCCAGCCTTATAGGTTTTAAAGTCTTTTTAGAGTTGTTTAAATTCCTTTCAGAGTTAACAAAAGCCATTTATCAATTTGGGAAGGCCCCAATGTCATATACCCATACATATAAATAAAACTACTGACAAAAGTGCTGCCACAGCTGCAAACAAGAACACCAAGTCATTTATGGGGCTTTTGAGGGTATAAAACAGCCTAAAGCAGTGCAATCTAGTAGCCATCCCTAACTGAGGTAAACAAGGTCCTGAGAAGTCAACGATTTAGCAAAACGAGTGAGCAGAACATTCACGCTGAATGAGTCTATACTGTCAGAAGGGTGACTGTGAATTCCGAGGCTAGAATGCCTGTAATGTAAGCAAGCTGTTTCAATAATATACCAATCC